TTGAGTTTAAAGTTCAGGGTTTAGGGCTAGAAAAAAGAATCACGCCCAATTAGGATCCTCCCTTATGCTGTTCATTGTCCCCAATACTATTGCCTGTAGCTCGTGAGAGTGGCGCTTTCAACTTCGCCGTTCAACCAGCGTCTGAATGTTCACTCAGGCCTGAAACACGCCTGCTAAACTTCAGCACGAAAATGTAGAACCATAAGCGCTTCGCAAGAGAAGCCTGAAACCCTGTCGGGTTTAGGGTTTAGGGTTTCGGTATAAATGAACAAAAATATCGTTCAAAACCCAAGAACTTCCTGCGACCACCTTCAAGCAAAAACGAGTCAACAGCCCTTATGCACAGCTGAGCGTCCCGGTGTCCGTGCGCTCTTCGCCCACCTGAACAGAGCTAATGGCTTTCGACACTCTGCTGGCAAGGGTAGGGTTGGGTTTAAGGGTCAAGGGTTTTTAACCCTAAACCCTAAACCCTAAACCCTAAACCCTAAGGGTTTTTAGTTTTGGGTTTAGGCTGGAAGCCTTAAACCCTAAAGGGTTGAGGGTTTAGGGTTCTTGGGTGTTCTCGCTTTAGGTTTTGGCCTCCTCAACCCTGAACCCTGCACCCCCCTAATATAGGGGCTTTAAACAATTACCAATCCTATTTTGGGGGTTCCTGCATTATGATTATAGTATAGTATACCCCAAACCCTATTCTAGTTATTAAGGCACCTATATTAAAGCCCTCAAGCTGTATCCTGCAACCTGTCATCCGAAGCTCTCTACTGGAAACCCTGGCCCCTGCACAAGTCTCGTGTCTAGGGTTTAGGAGTAGGGTTTAGGGTTTAGGGTTTAGGGGTAGGGTTTAAAAGTTTAGGGTTTAGGGTTTAGGGGTAGGGCTTAGTGTCTATGTATTGGAAGGGTGTCATGATGTTATCTCAGTTTTTTGACACTTGATGGCTTGGGCATGCGAATCTAGATTTGATTTTGGGTTCAGGATTGAGGTTTAGCCCATCTGTCCTGAACCCTTTGGTAGTAGGCTGTTTTGGCCCAGAGCTCTCCTTATTGGAATGCTAGGAGACTTAAACACTATAGAATAAATAGGGCTTGGGGGGTAGTTGTGGTACATTTTTTATAGAGTATGAGACCCTGAAAAAAAAAGCCATGTGCCACCCACTAAGCCTTAGCCTCAGTGGTGGTACATGGGATTAATTTAGCATCAGCAGCCAAGCTAAACACAGAACATCTGAAGCGTGGCTCCCGACCATACGCCTAAACCCTACACCACAAGGAACACTAGCTGACGGTGTCCACTAGACTGCTGTCAACACATGAATGTCTGCACATATCTGTATTTTTTATGTGTGCATGTATGCAAGCATGCGTATGCGAGTGTGCATGTATACATGTATACACGCACGCGTGCATGCAGACAATGCATGTATGTATGCATGTCTTTAAAGGTTTTATGCATGTGGGTGGTTGCCAAAATTATGGTCCCTTTTTGGGTCCTTATTATAATACGGCACCTATTATTTAGGGTACCCCAAAAGGGACCCTAATTTTGACAACTACCCATGTATGTATGCATGTATGTATGCAAACCCTCAAACCCAAAGTCTCTAACCCAAAGCCCCAAAGCCATTGTAAAACATACTCTAAGCCCTGAGCCCTGCTAAACCACTACCTACCTTGAAGGCGAAATCAACCCTTAGGGGGTTAAAGGTTCGTATACCATATAGAGATCCTAGTACAGGGTTGTAGGGTCCTTACTTTTTAGGGCCATGTGGTCCTTCAGGAACGCCCTCCCCCGCCCTCCCCACGGCACCTCTTCTTCCTCGTCCTCTTGTAGAGGTCCCTTCTCACCAGCTTTCCTGGTAGAGGTCTGGGTCGCTGCTTTGGTTTTTTGTGTTTAGGGGTTTGAGGGATTTTGGTCTAGTGGTGTAGCGTTTTCTGGGCTAGGTCTACGTGTACTGTCTACTTCGCTAACCCAAAGGGTCCTAGATACTGTTATGGGGGATACTTTCCCAAATCATACTAACAATTCCTAATATAGAAACCCTACATTCTACTATATTGGTACTTTGGACCCTTTGGGTAAGCTTCCGTCCCCAACTTTCTTGGTTTCTGCGTGGAGCGGTAGGTCGAATCCAAAATGTCATTGACTTCTTGTGGTTTTCACGTCCTCACGTGCTCCTCTCACAAAGTCAAATACTCATGACATTCCAGGCCAGCCGACGGCTTGTCTGCGCTTACGAATTTCATGGTTGAAGCTTCAGGATCGACACTCACACACACGCTCTCTAAACCCTAAACCCTAAACCCTAAACCCTAAACCCTAAACCCTAAATCCAGGTCTTTGGCCAAGGGAACTGGGAACGTGGTGTTTGGCGGGGGCGCGCGGTCGGCTCAGTTGGAATGGAGGACTCGGATCGGATCACGGGACAACGATTCGGGGTGTTGAGACAAAGGGATGTAGCCTCTTACACAAGTTTCTCTTGAGCGGGTTTCGAAATTGGGGGAGCTGTTCGGAATGGTTTTGGAAGCTTGGCAAATCTTGTAGAAGGCGCCCCTGCCTTTGCAACTTGCCTCTGCTGCAGAAGTATCAACGTGAGAAATGCTATGCTATGATAATGCAAGGTGCTGTCGCAGGGCTCGGCTTGTCCATCAACCGAAATAGAAGGCCTAAGCCCTAAAACAAGTCAATAGGGCTTTCATGATGTAGGGGCCTTGATCATTAGAATAGGGTTTTGGGGTTCATTATAGTATATAATAATAACGAGGGAACCGGAGGAATAACATTGGTAATTATTTAGGCTTCTATAGTAAGGTCGGGCATTATCGAGCGCAAGCTGTCAAGATGTCGCTCTCCGGAGTCTACGCAGGAGGAAGTTAAGAAAGCGGCACTCGTTGGGCTCAGAGTCGTCTCTTTCGGAAACTATTGGTCACAGAAGTGCTGACATGTTGATCTGTTACTTCCTTGGTTGTTGGGACTTGAGTCAATTCCGACCAAAATCGAACTCGAGAAGGTGCTAAAGCCTTCGCACGGGCTGGGCAAGTTTAGTTACTGGAGCTTGTGGAAGTTAATATAGAAGCCTAAAACAATACCCCGTCATATTTCTCAAGCAGGTCCTTGGATCCCAATATACATTAACCGGTGCAATCGACATGAAAGCACATCAAGTCGATATAATGTTTGATCTCAGCATCTTGGCGGCTCATAAGCCTGTACTCACCTCGACGACGTTGCCCAAGAGTGGTCCGGTGGTTGATGAGGGTTTAGGGTTTAGGGTTTAGGGTTTAGGGTAACAACAGAGGAATTCAGCCAGTTCCCATCCCACTGAAGGAAGTCTTCGATCAAGGCCCCCCTCCCCTTTCTTGTCATTGCCTTGGGTAGCACCATGATCAGGGATATACGTAAATGGTCATGCCGAGGCACTCTCGCAGATCTCCATGTACCGCTTCTTTTCCCTTTTTGTAATTATACCATAAAGAGCCCCAAAACCCCAAAACCCCAAAACCCTAAAACCCTACAGCCCTAAACCCTAAACCCTAAACCCTAAAACCCTAAAACCCTGAAACCCTGCACCCTAAACCCCTAAAGCCAAAAAACCGTAAATTTCTAATTATGAAGGCCCCTACATCATGTGCAAGGTTTGGGTTTAGGCAGCCGACCCTCAGGATGCAACTCCAACCCCAAACCATCCTAAACACTGTAACCCTGGCAAAGGAACACCCAACAACCAAACACATCTAATGTAGGGGCCCCAATGCTATTAATTCTGGGGGTTCCCTGTAATGATTATGATTACAGTATGATATACCCCAAAACTCCATTCTAATTTTCCAGGCCCCTATATTGAACCCAAGTGCTGGGCTTCGGAAATGACCAGTTTTAAGCATATCACACGGAAACCACAATAAAACACTGAAGACGGATTTTCTACTCCAGTGCTCAAGAACGAACCCTCCATAAACATTCCTCCAAACCCTCGCGCAAACACACACACACACAGAGACACAGACACACACACACACCCTAAACCCTAAACCCTAAACGCTAAACCCCAAACCCTAAAACACAGTCTGGCCCCAAATCCTGAAGGCCCAGCCTCTTTCGTTCCTTCTCTCTCCTCTTGGCCTCCTTCCTGTTACTTCGCTCCGCTTCCGCCTCCTCCTCCTCCTCCTCCTTGTCTTCATCCTCACCTTAGCTGGGGGTGAGGGTTTAGGGTTGAGGGTTTAGGGTTTTAGGGTTTAGGGTTTAGGGTTTAGGGTTCGGGGTGACGGATTTTTTCGAGTGCAGGATTCGTGTTCAGGGCTTCGGCTTTAGGGTTTAGGGTTGCTCTTCGAAGGTTCAACTCGAAGTCCTGTAAGCGTCAAGCCACTGCACCTGCAGTAGGCTTCATTGCGATTGCACCTATCTGCAAGTAGATGATACCCGAATCTCACTGGCCGCGTGGTCTTGCTCTAAGGGGGCCTCAGGTACCATCAACGCTTCAGAGCATAGCGACCGGAACCGAGCATCCTGCTGCGTACTGGCACCCTCCAACAGTAACAGCGCAGTAACCCCCCTACATCCACACAGAGGACCAGGGAAGCACCATTCAGAATCTAATAGTGGGAGGACTTAGTAAGTAGGTAATAAGTAGACTTAAAAAAACAAGGATCCCATTCTGGTAGGGGCTATGATACTTCAATCCTAAACCCTAAACCCTAGGTCTACTTAATACCTACTTACTAGGTCCCCCGACCCTCCAAGTAGAGGCTTGGGGGAGCTGAAAGGCAGGGCCGCGAGGATACCCAGACCTTCCCATATCCCTTAATTAGGTTTGGGGTTTAGGGTTTAGGGTTCAGAGTTTAGTGTTTAGGGTTTAAGTAACATACCTCAAAAAGTATGAGGGATCCTGCTATGATTTGAGGTATAATCTCCAATAAATCAAGGGATCTTGGAAGGTCTGGGTACCGCAAGGTTGTGTATTTATAGCGTCTGTTACAACGTACTTGCCAAGTCCACTGATCCTTCTAGCAGACACCAGGGTACCTATGTTTAAGCGCCTCGGCGACACGCAAGTCCCGCGATCGTCCGAGTATGGTGATCGCTTATGTAACGATAAACTTCTACACTGCGACTACACACCGTCCCGTAACTCAGTGAGTCTTCAACCCCCCCCCCCCCAAATTCAATGCTAGACCCCGCACACCTAAACTCTAAACCATGAAGCACCAAACAATGAAACTCTGAACCCTAACGAGCCTAAGGCTCAAAATAGCCCAAAAGCCTTATTTAGTATGGTCTTTGGGCCCAACAGCTTTAACATGTGAGCCCTTAGAGCATGAGGGTAAACCATGCTCCTAAACTCTAAGCCCGAAACCCTAAACCCTGAACAAGTCCACCTTCGTCGTCGTCTTCATCCTCCGCTTCCTCCTTCGGTCTTTCCTCTTCGTCTTCCTTCGGCTTCATTTCCTCTCAAAGAAGCTCTTGGGCTTCGTCGCATATGGCGGGTTTAGGGTTTGGGGCTTAGGGCTTTAGGATTCGTTTTGAGGGTTTGGGTTTAGGGCTTTAGGATTTAGGGTTTGGTTGTTTAGGGTTTTATGGTTTACGGTTTACTCCTGCATATGCTACCATAACTAGAACAAGAAGTCCCAAGACAGTTTTGGTAATCATGTTAGGGGCACCAAGCCCTACTCCATAATGACAGCGCGGCGCAAAGCTAAACCAAAACCCTAAACCCTATTCCCTAAACCCTCAACCCTA